CCTGGTTCTTAAAATAGGAATCCTGCCACAAAGCACTGCCTAGAAGTAGCAGGTAAGACACCTGTCTAAATCTCTAATTTAGTCATGATCATGTGACCTGGGTTTTGAAACCCACTTCAAAGCAGTGTTTTGAAATATCTGTGCTTCAGAAACTCGGCACGGAATTGAAAAGTCAGTATCGAGCGTCCATCCCTACTGACCTGCTTCACAGCCAATTACAGGCTCAAAATGTCAATGATTCATACAGAGATTTCCCTAACTTGAGGAAACTTACCGTTATCTTGGTGTTTGTTTGTTTGTGCTTTTGTTTTTATTTTTCCCCCTCTCTTCTTTTTCTTTGCTACGGAAGAGGATTAGGGCCACCGGAAAAAAAGTGGGCATTTTTTTCTTCTTTTCCAGAATTCTGAGAAAAAAGTCAGAATTCTGAGAAAAAAGTCAGAATTCTGACTTTAATGTCAGAATTCTGGAAAAGAAAAAAAAAGATGTGCCCACTTTTCTTCCCCCAGTAGCCCCAATCCTCTTCCATACTTTGTGCCTAGAGGATATATTCTTCTTACATTGTTTTGTTCTTCAGCCTGCTCGTTGGACATTACCAGCAGAGCTCAGAGCGGAGGGGCAGGACAAATCGCTACACAAACATTCCTCTGTTTGCATAATACTCCTTTTTTGTACACTGATACCTTTAACATATGAATTATCACTCACACGTGCAAAAATGAACCCTCTGTCCTCAGGGACCCAAAGCAGGCACTTCGTATTTGTAATGCCTTGGGCTGACTCTGCATTGCAACGTAGTTACAGCATAAAGCACTTTGAAACAACCTTTTTGACACAATTGTGCGTCTTTTCAAAAAGATACTTGTTATCCAGTGCAGCTGGTTGTCACTGAACACAATTTCATTGTATATTTCTACAATGGCAGTTATCTAACTAATTTATTAACCCCCCGCGCAAGATGTTAAAAGAGCTAAAAGATGCTGCTAAATGGGAATTTTGTCTTGTGTAAGCTTGATGCCAGTGACCAAATGCACTAAATGTTAAGCACTTGCTAAACAGACTTGCTCAGTGCTCAGCCAGGTAAAACACACCAAAGATAAATATTTTGATGAGCATACAGCTTTCCAAAAGGGCCATTTTAAAAACATAAAAAAGTAACCAGGGGTCCTTGCAGGTTAAAGAATCGGACACTGCTGTATTACCGTGATACATGTTAATATGATACAGTGGGCTTGGGGTAACTGGACTGGTACTTACATGGCATGTTTGTACTCTGCTTGAGCACTTGAACCACTGGCGAAATCGAAAAATGGTTCCTAAAACCAACTCTGTGCTTTTTCAGTGATATTAGGGTCATTGGGATAAATCTAGGTAGAGTGCCACATCCAAATCTCGCTGCTGCTGCAGCACTGCGCCTGGGGTTACTGTAATCACCCTAATGCGCCTGAAAAGCGCGGAGTCACTGCTTTCTTGAACCTTTGGAATTCTTTCAGTTCAGTAAACGGTTCAGGTGTTACGGGAGTTACAGATGAAAAAAGTGAGCTCAGCGAAGATGTGAGCCCCAGAAACCTGAAGTCGGAGACACATTCCACTTGTTCTCCATATAAAGAGAGGGGAGGGAACCTGTCTGTGTCCATAGGAGTCTTTTGTTTTAAGGATGTTTGGCTTCAGGTTTTTTCTGAGCACCGGTGGGACAACGTCTACCTCCGCTCTGTACGCTGTCTTATCTTTATGGGGGAATGAATTAGTTGTGTAAAGCGCTTTGAGTGCTCAGATAGAGTAGAAAAGCGCTATATAAGAAGCAGTCCATTTACTACAGTGTTGAACACTGAGCTGTAGTCTGTGAGGCAGTGTAACACAAGTAGTTAGGAAGGTGATAAGTAGACAGCATCAGCAGACTGGTCTGTTTCTTCTTGGTGTATTTTATTTTTCTGATATTCTGCCATCGTAAACCACTGGTTCCTAAAATCTTACTGGTTTTACACAGAATTTTACACACATCTGAACCTCATTAGTCTCTACCATTAAGAAATCAGTAATTTGATTTTTTGAGTTTTCTTTGTATTATTGTGGGATCTTTACCTTACAATATAAAGCACCTTGTGGTTGTTGTGATCTGGTGCTAAATAAATACAATTTTATTGAATAAAATTAAATTGGAATTGAATCGCACTTTTCATAACTGTCCACATTTCTGTGGACTTACACAAGGGCCATGTATCATAAACCAAGACTGTGCGGATTGCTATAGTAACCAGGTGATTTGTGCAGCTGGGTTTTCTACATTGCAAAGGTCTGTCTGTTCTTACTGGGATACATTGCCATGGTAGGTTTTTCTACAAACATATCACTCTTGGTTCTCAGTGTGCAGGTAGGGTCTAAAATGTTTCAGTAGTGTTTAAATCTGTCCATCCTTGATTATTCTGAGATGCAACTTTATTCCTTGACTGGACTGTTCCCTGTAAACTGCAAAAAATGTTCCCATTCTTCTAATAAGCATCAATATGTGATTCAGGACAAGATGCCAATCTGTTGATTATTTGTGGACTTTGTGGAATTTCCTGTGATCTGAAGGTGACAGTTTGGGCTTTTTTCCTCGCAAAGTGGTGACACATCTGAATAACTTATGTACAAATGTTTGAAATGATGACCTTGGAATGTGTAGTTGTTCAAAAATGGGTCTAACTT